CAACTTTCTGTTTTACAGGAGTTATAGCCCATGTTGAAATTTGACTTTGCGAGAGTATTTTCAGACCGGAAATGAAGGGTAATTTTACAAGAATTCATCTGATTTTTTGAAAACGTTGTGATGTGTTTCTCCCCTCCAGTTACTGTTCACATGCAGATTAACAACTAAGGCCCGGTTTAGACACCGTGCTTTCATGAGCCGAACTTAATTCATATTTTACTCGAGTAAAATAGGCGTACTTCCAATTTTGATTTAGACAGGCGTGCTTTTCATGAGCCGTACTTAATAATTTGCGCTGCTTCACTTCGAAACCTGGGGCGAGTGACAATTCATAATAAGAAAAAAGGGTTTATCTCATTCAATCTTGGCATTTCTGAGCGTCTACAGGTTTGTGATTATTAAAAATTTCAATTGCTTTTTGAAAAGCCTTATTACTACAAACATAGCATAATGCCTGGATATAATGTGTGGGAAAACGAGACCTATATACGCTTAGGGCGAGTTTTTCCACGTTATTCGAGTTCTCCCAAACTACTACAAGTGTTTCTATAACTGTATGGGTCATACATAATAAATGTTTCATATTTATTTCTTAATAATAACTAAAAAACGATTTGTAGTAGACTCGATATATTTACAAATTCTCATTGCGTAATAATGCCGACCTTTGCTCCATCAATTTACTGCAAGAAACCCTTTTTGTCTTTATCAGCAAATATCGCTATAAGCCTAATTTCGCAACTTTTATGCAAAGAGTCTAACGAAAGGTGTATCCTTTGCTACAAATTGACATATATAAAGAAAAGAAAGGGAAATTCTACCGCGATATTTGCCGATAAAGCGGTATCAAATCACTACAGAAAAAATAGAACAAATTACAGAAATACAAAACAAGCCAGAAGCGGAAGTGGGAAGGCTTTTGTATTTTGACTGTATTAAACAATTCTTAATTTGCATTAAAATTGTTTTGTTTGCGATTGTAAGTTTAGGCGGGAAATTTCCCGCGTAGAAACACGCTTCTCGACCAATCAACGCACGCGTACTATAAATGTTCGATTTTATCATAATTTATGCATTTGGTACTGCTCATGTAAAGCACGGCAGTATAAATCAACATGTGCTTCAGCCGTGTAGCACGCCTGAACCAGGCGAACTTATTAATTTAGCCGTGCTTAATATTAAGTGCAGTGCTTAATTGATTTAGACGCCGTGCTTCTCATGTGCTTAATTCAATGTATTAAGTTCGGCTCATGAAAAGCACGGCGTCTAAACCGGGCCTTAGGGTTAGTAATCCAAGTGAGTATATATACATTTTAAGACCTGACCAGGAACGACTGCGAAAAATGCAGCACAAGGTCCTCTGGTAGGAATTGAACCTACGGCCCTGCGAATCCGGTGCACCCGATCACCTATATATATATATATATATATATATATATATATATATATATATATATATATATATATATATATATATATATATATATATATATATATATATATATATCACTAGCCTCCCAAAAAACTTCATTTATATATAGCTTCAAATTGAAAATAAGTTTTTGGATTGAAAAATTGAATACATATGTACCACTGGGATTAAATTTGAGGGAGGAATATTAATGCAAGTCTATATATATTATTAGTGTATGTTAATTAGGATTGGGCCAAAAGTATTTAAGGACATGGATTTGAACTTATCTCGTTTCTGACGAAGGGGCTGTGCCCCGAAACGTATCTTTATCTTTACAACATGTATTTATTTATTTGAAGTTTAATAAAATTTATTTTCAATTTGAAGCTTTATATATATATATATATATATATATATATATATATATATATATATATATATATATATATATATATATATGTTAAGATGAAAATGTTCTAGAGTGTGTATTATATAATTTCCATACCCAGCGCAAGCAGAAAGATGTTGTCTGCCGCGGCTGGGTCTTCAACCCGCTACCTGACGTCTTGAATTACACAACTTAACATATATATATCTATATATATATATATATATTTATATATATATATATATATATATATATATATATATATATATATATATATATATATATATATATATATATATATATAGCTTAAGATTTTGGTTTATGAAATAATATAGTATTTTTCGTTTTACCTCAAAAAACCACAACTGTCTGTTTCATCCGTATAGGAATCATCCTATACGGATGATCATCATTCCTATACGGATGAAACTGACTGTTGTGGTTTTTGAGGTAAAACGAAAAACTATATATATATATATATATATATATATATATATATATATATATATATATATATATATATATATATATATATATACAATAATAAATCGTTGTCCGTTGTACAAAAAGAGTGCTCAATAACAAATTTAATTGATAGAGCAAAATATACTAATTATGATCTTAAAATGTTATTAATCGCTACACAGTGTTTCACGCTTTCAAAGCGATCTTCAGGCGATACTACTCTAAATAGTTTGCTTGCGCCATTCATTCAACGGTCCGCTGACGCGATTGCATCATGCGCGCGTGCGTTTAAAATTCCGCGCGCT